GGCTGCCTTGGAGAAGGATTATGAGGAGGTTGGAGCAGATAGTATTGAGGGAGACGATGAGGGTGAGGAGTACTAACCTGTCAGCTGCGATGTTACACTCCAGTGTCTTGGGATTGTCTTATTTCTGTTGTTCTGTGAAGTCTATTGTGTCCTAAACTTTGCAATAAAGTTGTTTTCATTTTGAATGTCAAACTGGTTTCTTCTGTATCACAGTAAATACTTGCCCCTCTTATTCAAGGCCAGTCGGGTGGAGGCTGGCAGACCACCCTGATCATTTGATCAACTTTCCCAGTGGCTTCTGTGTGCGACGTATTGTGCTAAGTGGTTTGTTTCACTTAAACCTGATTTGATGAGTGATGATAAAAATCATTTCAGTGAGGCAACAGGCTCAGGTTGGGCCACTTTCTCAAACTTCTGCGAGGATGTGTCACCTGTAGCCATTGAAATGCAGATCCAAGCTTCAGGTACTACATTTTCCAACAAGCTTCTAGCTGATGCTCTTGGTCTACCAAAATTCAAGTAACCAGTCAGACTGCCAAGAGGTATGTCAGTATTTAATAAAACACTTGAGTCACATGGGAAAGGCTTTGGAATTGTATTGATAAATTCCATACTTAGCCCTGGGTGGTGGCTCAATGGTTAGAGCATTGGCCCATGCACCAAAGAGTCATGGGTTCGATTCCTGGTCAAGGGCAGGTACCTGGGTTGCAGGTTCATCCCAACCCCTGTCAGGGTGCATGCATGCGGGAGGCAAGCAATCGGTACATCTCATTGATGTTTCTCCCTACCCCCACTCCCACTTTGAAAAAGCAATGGGAAAATGTCCTAGGCCAGTGATGGCGAACCTATGACACACTTGTCAGAGGTGACACGCGAACTCATTTTTTTTGGTTGATTTTTCTTTGTTAAATGGCATTTAAATATATAAAATAAATATCAAAAATATAAGTCTTTGTTTTACTATGGTTGCAAATATCAAAAAATTTCTATATGTGACACGGCACCAGAGTTAAGTTAGGGTTTTTCAAAATGCTGACACGCCGAGCTCAAAAGGTTTGCCATCGCTGTCCTAGGGTGAGGATTTAAAAAAAAAAAATTCCATACTTAGACAAAACCTACAATGGCACATATGTTTGTACTTTACAAATTTGCTGCTTAGAGAAAGTAAAGTTGGCTGAGACAAAATTAGGAGTTACAGGCGGTTGTATTATTGGTACCTGACCCAAGGTATTTCCGGGATATTTGAAGTAGGAGGCCAAGGAAAACTGAAGAATGATGTGTAGGTAGGAAAGATTGGAGAGGGGAGAGTTCCCTGATGAGGCTCCTCTCCAAGCACCTGTTGGAAGCGGTGTGGTCCTTAGTTGGGGCAGGAGGGACTATGAGGTAAGGGTGGGGAAGAAGGGGCATTAACGTGAGTGGCTGGGGAGTTGGCGACTGGTACTCAGGTGCCAGTGGTGTGGCCTAGAAGGTTGAGCTGAGCAATGGAAAAGGACAGGATGACCATAGGGCCAGGGCTCACGCAGAAGGGAAGGGCCCGTGTGGTGCTTGGGCACTGGCCTGGGTGGAAATGCCCCGCGAGTGGCAGGAGATGGAGGCCCTGGTGACCCTATTCTGATGGTGCTCAGTTGCCATCCCTCCCCCGCTGTTTTTCACCCCTAACCCCTTGCCCACCCCCTGGCTGTTGGAGAAGAGCATCTGAAATGTGCCTGTTCCACCTCCAAGCACAGAGGGCGCAGCGGGAGGTGCTGCACCGTTGCTCAGGGAGGGTCTCACCGCATTCACGACCCTGGTCTTATGTCCTTCAGGCTGCCCCATCCTTGAGTACAAGGCCAGCTATTTTTGCTTATCACATGGGACAGAGTCCTCCGGCAGCCCGAGCACGGGCGGTCAGGGATGAAAACGAACCGTGGGTGGGCCGCCAGCCCAGCCACCAGAGGGGCACCCTGGGACCTTCCCGACCCAGGAGATGAACCTGCCGGTGGTCACAGCGTGCGCACTGGAGGACACGGACACGCACGTGAGAAGGAGCAGGTAAGTCATCGCCCCGCAGCTGAGCGTGACGGCCCTGACACCTGAGAGGCCCGTTCTCTGAGCCAGCGCTTCCCGAGCACAGCGCCCTGAGGATGGGATCCAGGGCTACGTCCCCCTGGCAGGAGCCCTTCCTCCGTTGACCTCAGTAAGCCTTAAGGTAAGTCATTGTCTATGTGCCAGATGTGGGAAGGTTGGAGACCCGGAAGCAGCTGCCATGGTGTGGGGGTGAAAGAAGGTGAGGAAGCGTTTAGTTGAGGAATATTCCAGCCCAACAGCCTGGGGAAGAGCAAAGTGCGGGCGGCTGGGAAGGGTTTCTCGCAAGGATGACATCCCCTCCTGTGTCGGTGACAGTGGGCAGCAGTTAGCCTGCAGCAAAAGACAAATGCAGCCCAAGGTCCAGGTCACTGCTTTGTGGCTGCCAATCATCCGATCTGCCCTTGAACACAAAGGGAAAGGCTGGACTCAGAACTGCAGCCTTTGCTGATGGTGCCGGGCTCCATGGGGATACACGGAGAGAGCCTCAGAGTGCAGGCTCCGTGACTGGCCACGGCCCCAGATCCTGGCTGCGCAGACACAGGGCTTAGGCTGCCCTCCCTGCCCTGAGCAGAGAAACGGTCTGCCTCCCCCCACCCCACCCCCACCCCTGGAGGCCACTGGCCACTGAGGGCCCAGCAGGCCCAGCATAGCTGCTTGGAGCTGGGTGAGGAGGAGAGAACGGCTGTGAGGGGCAGTGTGCTGGCCTGTCTACCTGTCATCCTAAGTGTTCGGGGAGCAGCTGGCAAATGCCTCTGCTCCAGGGGAACTGGCCGAGCATCCCGCCGTCTGGACAGAGGCAGCCAGTGGTTCTGAGCTTTGACTGAGCCTGTCTTCAGGCCCCCGACTTCTGGAAGGCGAGCGGCAGGTTGTGGGGGGAAGGGGAGGCTGTCAGGGCGGAAGTGTTCCATGATCTTCACCACACCCTGTGAGGAGATGCTTACCCATTTCCACAGCCGAAGAAGTCAAAGCTCAGAGAGATTAAGTATCAGCCTCAGTAAACTGAAATTTGACCCACAACTCTGGTCACATCCCTTGTGGGCCTTTCCAGTGCTGGGTGGGAAGGGCCACACGCTGGGGCGCGTCAGGCCCGAGGCCCACGGGGCCAGCCCTGGGAGCAGCACCGGATGGAGCCAAGCCACAGAACGGAGATCTTGTGATGCCATTGGCTGGTAGATCACCACCCAGGAGCCCATTCTGGTGACAGCACGCTAGTCCAAAGGAGCGAAGCAAGCTGGTCCCCACTCAGACGGTGGCCTTCCAGTGAGGGGACTCCTTCGTCCCGGCCTCCCTCTGAACCCAGGGAATCTATTCTCAGATCTGGTGCTAACGGGGTCCTTGCAGAGTAGTTGTTACCACCTTCCTGGACTCCTGCTGACGAGACTGCAGCCACAGGGCAGACAGGACAGCTCGCACCTGCAGAACCGCTACCCTAAGCACAGGGGCCAGGATGGTCTCCTGTCAGCCACGGACACAAGGTGAAGCTGGTAGTTGACCTGGGCAGATGGCTCCTGGAGTCCAATGCCAGGGAGGCTGTCAGGGAGGCAGGGCAGCATAAGGCGGGGCAGACAGACCCGTGTGTCAGGTGGGGAAGGCTCCCACCGCAGCCTCGCGGAGAAAGTCCCCCTTTGCTGACGTCTCATTAACCTGTCACTGCCCCACTCATTCCAAGAGCCTGTCTCTGAGTCTATTCGTCCTGAGAGCAGATTCTGGGAAAACGGCTCTTTCCTCTTCTGATGCTCCTCAGAGTCCGCGCAGGAGAGAAGTACTCATCTCAGCGGCAACGAACCTCACAGAACGAGTCATGTGTCCTTTACAGAAAATGCCCTTCAGAACCTCATATCACCACTGCAACGCTCATTTTTCTCTTTTAAAAAACGAGAACAAGCCCTGGCCTGTGTGGCTCCGTGGGTTGGGCGTTGTCCCGGGCACCAAAAGGCTGCTGGTCAGACTCCTGGTCAGATTCCTGGTCAGATTCCTGGTCAGGGCACATGCCCGGGGTGAGGGCCCCTAGAGGGCGTGCAGGAGGCAGCTGATCCACGTTCTGCTCTCACGCACACCCATGCTTCTTTCTCTCTCTCTCTCCCCACTTTCTGTTTCTCTAAAAATCAATTTTAAAAATCTTAAAAAAAATAAAAAATGCGAACACAATATTAAGCTTTCCTAATTACACAAGAGTTCTGTCTACATTCACAAATTAATTTAATTCATTGGGGTGGATATTAAGTCAGTCTCACTGCTGTCACCCCCCTCTCTTCTTCCCAAATCTCACTTGGCTCACAGGAGAGGCCCGACGGCAAACTGATACTGAAATGCCCCCGGCCAAAGCAGTCATGTCCAATTATGCTCTTATGACAGTCATTTCCGTTTTTTAGTTTCATTCACTCATTATTTTGGGGAAAACCTATTTGGTGCAAGTCACTGTGCCAGGTACTACGGGGAATATATTCTGTTTCTTGGTCCCCCTCAGACCATAGAGACAGGTCATATAGGCACAACCCTAATTCACGGCAGCGTACGCCACAGGTCAGGAGAGGTGGTCACACGTAGCAGCCGCTATTGCATGTCTACCCTGAAGCCATCCCAGCTGGTTGTTCTACCTGCCAACACAACTGGCTCTGTGCAGGCGTTGTGAGCATGGGCGTCAGGAGAGGCTGGGTCCCCCCACCAACAGGATGAATTTAGCCTAAGCCTTAGGCCCTAAGCTGAGCAAGGAAATTCCTTGCCAGGGATAGGTTAAGCATCCAGCATGTGACGCAATTAGGGAAATGAGAGGCGAGGTGCTATCTGCTGGCTGGGGGCTGTGGGGGTGGGGGGAGGGGTGGGTGTTCTTGGAAAAAT